CCATATGCTAGTTTCAATTAATGATAATTTAATTATCGGATTACATATTAGGCGCTATAAAGAGCTATCTGTGCATATATCATTTATTATGGGCATTTTTTTCTAATTTTTTCTGTATATTCCTCCATTTCAGCATTCATATGCTTTATTTTTCAATATATATTAGATAATCCACTTTCCATATCATTTAGATATATATATATCTACCTTTTACATACTGTGAGAGCACTGGGAAAACCACTTTGTCTATGGAAAGGTGTTGTGTGTGCCTGAGAAGCTAGTCCAAGCAGACATTATTATTCCATTGCTCTGGTTATACATTATAGGGGAAGCAACTATCTACAGAAAGGGTTTTCTCAATAGAGAGAGAGACTGGGTGCTGACAGCCTTGTAGGTAAAAAAAACTTTAGCTGGATGAAAGTTTCAAATTCTCAACAGCAAGGAACCTAACGAGAAACTAAAGTCCACAAATATCCATATCCCACCAATGCCAACATCTGTTCTTTAGCTTCTTCCAGGTGTCTTTGGCCATGGGGAATGATGCAACTCCCATGCATGCGCAAGCTGTGCTGTGCTGAAAATGCATACCAAGCTGCGCATATATAGTCCAGTGTACATTCTAAAAAAGACTGCAAAGAGTCAGGTAGGTTTGTTTTATTGCAGAAGAGACATATCGGGGTTTATTTACTAAAGCTGGAGAGTGCAAAATCAGACTCCCTTCTGCATAGAAACCAATCAGCTTCCAGGTTTCATTGCCAAAGCTTCATTGAACAAGCTGAGGTTAGAAGCTGATTGGTTTCTATGCAGAAGGGAGTCTGATTTTGGACTCTTCAGCTTTAGTAAATAAACCCCATCATGTCTCTTCTGCACTAAAGAGCCAGCCTTTGCAGCTTTTTATATTTTTTTCCTTAACTTTAGTTTCATTTTAAAATAAAGGAGAGTAATTATTTACCTATGAACACTTTGTCTGGATTAAAATCTAGTCAACATCATTCTGTGATGATCTAATTTCCAAATGACTAATTCCTTTTAATGTTAACCCTCTGCTTGATCCCTCGTGGTATTTTATAAAGTTTGATATTGATAGGTGTAAATGATTCCTCATTCAAATATTTATTTTATGTTAAACTTTACAGATCCTTTTTTCCTTTTTGATTTTCCTGGGTGTATTACCCCATAAGGGCATTTATTTTGTAAATTAACCCTGTAATGAACAGCCATTGTACAAGTTCCTAGTGGCTTCTGACAATTTGCTGAGAGCAGCTGTTTTCTGTAACTTTCTGGTGCCAACAGAGTAATATCCAGACTAATGAACACCAAAATGAAAGCAGTTACATTGATACAGTCATATACAGTGCCTTGAAAAAGTATTCATACCCTGAGACATTTTCACATTTTGTCATGTTACAACCAAAAACTTAAATGTATTTTATCAGGATTTTATGTGATAGACCAACACAAAGTGGTACATAATTGTGAAGTGGAAGGAAAATGATAAATGGTTTTCAAATTTTTTTTACAAATAAATATCTGAAAAGTGTGATGTGCATTTGTATTCAGCCCCCTGAGTCAATACTTTGTAGAACCACCTTTCGCTGCAATTACAGCTGCAAGCCATTTTGGGGATGTCTCTACCAGCTTTGCACTTCTAGAGAGTGAAATTTTTGCCCATTCTTCTGTGCAAAATAGCTCAAGCTCTGTCAGATTGGATGGAGAGCATCTGTGAACAGCAATTTTCAAGTCTTGCCACGGATTCTCAATTGGATTTAGGTCTGGACTTTGACTGGGTTATTCTAACACATGAATATGCTTTGATCTAAACCATTCCATTGTAGCTCTGGCTGTATGTAGGGTTGTTGTCCTACTGGAAGGTGAACTTCTGCCCCAATCTCAAGTCTTTTGCAGACTCTAACAGGTTTTCTTCTAAGATTGCTCTGTATTTGGCTCCACCCATCTTCCCATCAACTCTGGCCAGCTTCCCTGTCCCTGCTGAAGAAAAGCATCCCCAGAACATGATGCTGCCACCACCATGTTTCACGGTGGGGATGGTGTGTTCAGGGTGATGTGCAGTGTTAGTTTTCCGCCACACATAGCGTTCTGCTTTTAGGCCAAAATGTTCAATTTTGGTCTCATCTGACCAGAGCACCTTCTTCCACATGTTTGCTGTGTCAACCACATGGCTTCTCCCAAACTGCAGAAGGGAATTCTTATGGCTTTCAACAATGGCTTTCTTCTTGCCACTCTTCCATAAAGGCCAGATTTGTGGAGTGCACGACTAATAGTTGTCCTGTGGACAGATTCTCTTACCTGAGCTGTGGATCTCTGCAGCTCCTCCAGAGTTACCATGGGCCTCTTGGCTGCTTCTCTGGTTAATGCTCTTATGCTCTTCTTGCCCAGCCTGTCAGTTTAGGTGGACGGCCATGTCTTGGTAGGTTTGCAGTTGTGCCATACTTTTTCCATTTTCGGATGATGGATTGAACAGTGCTGCATGAGATGTTCAAAGCTTGGGATATTTTTAAAATAACCTAACCCTACTTTAAACTTCTCCACATTTTTATCTCTGACCTGTCTGGTGTGTTCCTTGGCCTTCATGATGCTGTTCTCTAACAAACCTCTGAGTGCTTCACAGAACAGCTGTATTTTTACTGAGATTAAATTACACACAGGTGAACTCTATTTACTAATTAAGTGTCTTCTGAAGGCCATTGGTTCCACTAGATTTTAGTTAGGGGTATCAGAGTAAACGGGGCTGAATACAAATGCATGCCACACTTTTCAGATATTTATTCGTAAAAAATTTTGAAAACCATTTATCAATTTCATTCCATTTCACAATTATATACCACTTTGTGTTGGTCTATCACATAAAATCCCAATAAAATACATTTACATTTTTGGTTGTTACATGACAAAATGTGGAAACTTTCAAGTGGTATGAATTCTTTTTCAAAGCACTGTAACAATACAATTGTGCTCTGATACCTAAAATTCTGTACCTCCATCCTTATTCAATAAGTACACAAATCTAGTCAATTGTCCATAAGACTTTTAATGAGGAAAATGATATGAAAATAAAGTATCAGTTTATTGGACAAGTCTCATAAATTAAAATAACAAGCTGATTCGTTATATCCATTATACATCAGATTAAGGTATTAATATAATTAGTCCATACAGATATTAGCCAAATTGCTAAGAAAAGCAGTACATCCTAAAACTCAACATGTTTCGTGAATGTATCTTCACTACTTCAGGAGTGGACGTCACCAGTATAAAAGTCTGTGAACTAAAAAAACAAAGTTCCAGAATATGTTTGACAATTTTTCTTAACTGTTGTCATTGATTGATAAAAAAAAGTACTTACCAACCAGCTTGATAAAAAAATCATCATTGTAATGCCTCCAGATAGTGACCAAAGCACCCCAATGGGACAACCAAAGGCTGCACAAGGAGGTGCATGGCTAGAATTTGAAAACCCAACTAAGTAAACAGAAAGGCCTGTGAAACAGGAAAAACAGACATAAGTAGTAAAGCAGAGATAAGTAATCTCTATAGGCAAAAGGCTACTACTGAGTACTACCCAAAGAACTAAATACTTCAAAATATCCTGTTGGTGAAAGTAGCATGTGTACTCAAAGTAAGCAAAATTAAGTAGCTCTGGGGTGTGAAACTTGTAGTGAAATAACCAAGGATTACCAAAAAGTGAGGGGAATGACTAGAAAAAGAAAAAAAAAACTTTGATATACAAGGGGCATTCAAGTCAAACTGGGACTTTTCAGTTTATATAATAAAAGAACACATTTCAAGGAGTGGAAACTGAATGTATTCTTCAAGATACTCCCCTGCTACAGTTATACACTTATTCCAGTGTTTAACTAATGCCTGGGAAGCTTCAGCATAGAAAGATTTGTCAGTACTCCTGAACCATCCTAGGACATTCATAAATGATTGTGTTCACTGTTCCGACAGAAAGATTCATCTCTTGTGCAATTTCATGACAGGTTATGCTTCAATTATCCATGATCAGGCGTTCCATGCACTGAATGTTCACGGGAATGACTGCTGAGGGCTGGGAACCACCATGACCGGGATCATCACTGACAGACATACTGCCATCTTTGAAAGGTTTACAGCATTCAAATGTCTTACTGCAAATGATTGTCTCATCACCACACTGTGCTTGAAATCTTCTGTAGATAGCCATGGGTTTTAGATCTACATTCACAAGAAACTTCATCACCACACAATGTTACATGCACCTACTAACACTGTTGTCTGCCATCTTGATTAGCCACTTGCTGTCCAGAGGATTTACCCCCCTTACTGACCAGGCCATTTTTTGCGATACAGCGCTGCATTACTTTAGCTGACAATTGTGCAGTCAAGCAACGCTGTACATAAATGAAATTTAAGTAAATTTTTTCCCACAAATAGAGCTTTTATTTCAATGGTATCTGATCACTTCTAAGTTTTTTATTTTTTGTGCTATATATTGAAAAAAAAAAACCCAATATGTTTGACTTTTTGCTATAATATACATCCAAAAAAAATTGTAAAAATCTAATTTCTTCAGAAATTTAAGCCAAATGTATTCTGCTACCTGTCTTTCAAAAAACAAATCCCAATAGGAAGTATATTAATTGGTTTATGTGAAAGTTATAGCATCTACAAATGGCAGTATATATACTGAATTTTTTATTTTTTTTATTCTAGTATTGGCGGCGATCAGCGACTTATAGTGGGACTGTGGGACTCGGCGGACATTCTGGCACTGGGTGGGAACTGACCAGGGATGGACTGACCATTCGAGCACTTGGGCACTGCCCGAGTGGACCAGGGTCAGTAGGGGGCCCCATGAAATGCCCCTAGTACCTTTTATAGGCTTTTTTTGGGTGTGCTTTGAGTGTGGGCAAGGACACAGGGGCCCCATGATCCCCTATTGCCTGGGGGCCCCATGAGCTGTCAGTCCGCCCCTGGAACTGACTAACTGCCACTGACATCCCCAGTGACAATAACACAGTGATCAGTACTAATAAAACTGACACTGGACACTGGACTACTGACACTGGGCAGGAAGGGTTTACATCTGGGGCAATCAAAGGGTTAACTGTGTGCTGTTTTACATTGTGTGCTGTGTGCTGTTTTACTTGGGAGACTGTTTTACTTGCTGTTTTGCTGTGCAGAGAAAATACAAAGCAGCATGTCCTTGCTGACAGCAGAGAGACCTGTGTTGTTTTCGGGAATTGCCCCGGGCAAATCCCCAGCTGCCAACAGCCATGCGCCCCCTACCCGGAAATGCAAATCACATATACAGTGGGGATCGAAAGTTTGGGCACCCCAGCTAAAAATTTGTATTAATGTGCATAAAGAAGCCAAGGAAAGATGGAAAAAATCTCCAAAAGGCATCAAATTACAGATTAGACATTCCTATAATATGTCAACAAAAGTTAGATTTTATTTCCATCATTTACACTTTCAAAATAACAGAAAACAAAAAAATGGCGTCTGCAAAAGTTTGGGCACCCTGCAGAGTTAATATCTCGTACTGCCCCCTTTGGCAAGTATCACAGCTTGTAAACGCTTTTTGTAGCCAGCCAAGAGTCTTTCAATTCTTGTTTGAGGTATCTTTGTCCATTCTTCCTTACAAAAGTCTTCCAGTTCTTTGAGATTTCTGGGCTGTCTGTCACGCACTGCTCTTTTAAGGTCTATCCATAGATTTTCAATTATTTTGAGGTCAGGAGATTGTGAAGGCCATGGCAAAACCTTCAGTTTACGCCTCTTGATGTAAATCCCCCGTGGATTTTGAGGTGTGTTTAGGATCATTATCCATTTGTAGAAGCCATCCTCTCTTTAACTTCAGCTTTTTCACAGATGGCATCAAGTTACCATCCAAAATTTGCTGAAATTTTATTGAATCCATTTTTCCTTCTACTCGTGAGATGTTCCCTGTGCCACTGGCTGCAACACAACCCCAAAGCATGATTGATCCAACCCCATGCTTAACAGTTGGACAGAGGTTCTTTTCATTCAATTCTGTGCCCCTTCTTCTCCAAACGTACCTTTGCTCATTCCGGCCAAAAAGTTAAATTTTAACCTCATCGGTCCACAGAACTTGTTTCCAAAATGCATCAGGCTTATCTATATGTTCATTTGCAAAGTTCAAACGATGATTTTTGTGGTGAGGACGTAGAAGAGGTTTTCTTCTGATGACTCTTCCATGAAGACCATATTTGTACAAGTATCTCTTTATAGTGGAATAGTGTACCACAACTCCAGTGTCTGCCAGATCTTTCTGGAGGGATCGTGCAGTCAAACGTGGGGTTTGAATTGTTTTTCTCACAATCCTGCGAGCTGTTCTGTCTGATATTTTTCTTGGTCTTTCAGATCTTGCTTTAACTTCCACTGTTCCTGATGACTGCCATTTCTTAATTACATTCCGAACTGAGGATATTGACATCTGAAAACGCTTTGCTATCTTCTTATAGCCTTCTCCAGCTTTGTGAGCGTCAACTATTTTCAGTTTCAGTTTTCTAGACAACTGCTTAGAAGAACCCATGGTGCTGATTGTTGGGGCAAGGTCAGATGAGTCTGGGCATTTAAAACCTTTGAGATTGACATCACCTGGTCTTCCCAGACGATGATTGAGAACAATCCATGACACTGGCAGGTCTCAGCTTGGCAAAGGGGGCAGTGCATGCTATAAATTCTGCAGGGTGCCCAAACTTTTGCAGACGCCATTTTTTTGTTTTCTGTTATTTTGAAAGTGTAAATGATGGAAATAAAATCTAACTTTTGTTGACATATTATAAGAATGTCTAATCTGTAATTTGATGCCTTTTGGAGATTTTTCCATCTTTCCTTGGCTTCTTTATGCACATTAATACAAATTTTTAGCTGGGGTGCCCAAACTTTCGATCCCCCATTGTATATATATATATATATATATGTATACACACGGCTTTGCGCAGCCGTATGCAGCCCTGTAACAGTACTTTTGCTGTAGGGCGGATGGCAAGTGGTTAACAGTCTCTGGACTGGCCCATGACATGTGGGCCATCTATCAGTAATAGGACCCACTTACTACTGCATGTAGTACCGCCACACTAGCATCCCTTTTTATATCTGTAAAATTTAAAGTCCCGGTTTGACTTGAACACCCCTTGTAGTATGCCCAAATGCGACACTTTTAAAATGTACTTGTTTTTTTAATGTTGATTACTAGCCCACTGTACAGCATTAGAACATGCTGGCATTTTATAAGTCATAAATAATTTCCAGCTCTGCTTCCCTCAGTCATCTATAATGCCTTTGATCGTAAAAAGATCCATTGATTTCACATGAAAAAGGCATTTAATGCAAACTTGTCTATTAAACCATAAAATCTGGGATGTGCTGACAGTTGCTAGAAACTGCAACAGCCATTCTAAATATCTAAATTACAAGTCTAAAACTGCATAGAACTAAGGATGTGATGCTTGAAATCATCTCTTTCTTAAAAGTATACAGCATATACTAATAGCAGATCAATTTCTTCATTAAGCCTCTTCAAAGATTTCTGTTGGCTTACTTGACAACACTAATAGTATTTGCTACCATCTACACTCTGATCTATAGCTAAATGAACAGAAGACACATTCACATAACATGTCCACAAGGTTTACATATGGGAAAGACCGGTTTATTTTTTACAGTGGACCTTGCAGCATAGCCCAGCATTCCCATATGGAAGAAAAATATACTTTAAATATATTTAAAAAAATATTCTTCCCAAATATATTGACATATATTTTGAAATGCTACTGGCCATAATCAATATATTTCAATATATATATATATATATATATATATATATATATATATATATATATATATATATATATATATAAACTGTATATATATATATACAGTTGTGTTCAAAATAATAGCAGTGTGTTGAAAAAAGTGAATAAAGCTCAAAATCCTTCTAATAGCTTTTATTTCCATACACACAAATGCATTGGGAACACTACACATTCTATTCCAAATCAAAACATGAAGAAAACTATATAAAATTTGTGTTGCTCCTCTAAAAAAATTGAAGAAAATTGAATATTAGACTGTTCAAAAAAATAGCAGTGTTTGTATTCTTCTTTACAAACTCAAACATTCACTATATAAACTGAAAAATGTTTGAAGATTTTGCTTTCCTTTGAATCACTTAATGAATATTTAGTTGTATAAGCACTGTTTCTGAGAACTGCTGTACATCTGTGTTGCATGGAGTCAACCAACTTCCGGCACCTGTGAACAGGTATTCCAGCCCAGGATGATTGGACTACATTCCACAGTTCTTCTCTATTTCTTGGTTTTGCCTCAGAAACTGCATTTTTAATGTCACCCCACAAGTTTTCTATTGGATTAAGATCCGGGGATTGGGCTGGCCACTCCATAACGTCAATCTTGTTGGTCTGGAACCAAGATGTTGCACGTTTACTGGTGTGTTTGGGGTTGTTGTCCTGTTGGAACACCCATTTCAAGGGCATTTCCTCTTCAGCATAAGGCAGCATGACCTCTTCAAGTATTCTGATGTGTTTCAAACTGATCCATGATCCCTGGTATGCGATAAATAGGCCCAACACCGTAGTATGAGAAACATCCCCATATCATGATGCTTGCGCAACCATGCTTCACTGTCTTCACAGTGTACTGTGGCTTGAATTCAGTGTTTGGGGGTCGTCTGACAAACTGTCTCCGGCCACTAGACCCAAAAAGAACAATCTTACTTTCATCAGTCCACAAAATGTTGCGCCATTTCTCTTTAGGCCAGTCAATGTGCTCTTTGACAAATTGTAACCTCTTCAGCACATGCCTTTTTTTCAACAGTGGGACTTTGCGGGGGCTTCTTGCAGATAGCTTGGCTTCACATAGGCGTCTTCTAATTGTAACAGTACTCACAGGTAACTTTAGACCTTCTTTGATCTTCCTGGAGCTGATTGTTGGCTGAGTCCTTGCCATTTTGGCTATTCTTCTATCCATTCGAATGGTAGTTTTTCGTTTTCTTCCACGTCTTTCAGGTTTTGGTTGCCATTTTAAAGCATTTGCGATTATTTTAGCCGAGCAGCCTATCATTTTCTGCACTTCTTTATATGTTTTCCCCTCTCTAATCAACTTTTTAATCAAGGTACACTGTTTTTCTGAACAATGTCTGGAACGACCCATTTTCCTCAGAATTCAGAGAGAAATGCGCTGTAACCAGCATGTACAACATTTGCTGCCTTCCTTCCTTAAATAAGGGCAATAATTGCCACCTGTTTTTCAAAGAATGAATGACCTCACTAATAGAACTCCACACTGCTATTATTTTGAACATGCCCCTTTTCAATTAGTTATTCAATTACACAGAATCAGCAGCATGCATGTCCTGACTGTTGGGTCTGTTGGATTTCTATTACTCTTCTACACCTGACAGTAAACTATTGGCCATGTAGAAATATCATTTCTACCAAAAACAGTGATTGATCAGGTTAGTGATGTCTGACTGCTATTATTTTGAACACAAGTGTGTATATATATATATATATATATATATATATATATATATATATTGCATGTTGAAATGTGTTTTTATTACAATACAAAATATATGACAAGTGTTTTTAAAAATACATTTCAAATATACTGTATGTCTTTAAAAATACAAATCTACATTTTTAGAATGCATTTACAAATATATGTAAAAATATATGTTAAAATTACTTTTTCATATGTTAACAAAAATCTGAAGAATATATTTAAAAATATATATTTTTAAAAATATACTTTTTTAAAATATACTTGTCAGTTTTTTTTTTATTAAAAAAAGTCATTTTAACATATATTTTTACATATACTTGTAAATGCATTCCAAAATGTAGATTTGTATTTTTAAAGACATACAGTATATATGAAATGTATTTTAAAAAATACATTTCATATATTTTGTAACAAAAATGCATTTCAACATGCAGTGTATATATATATATATATTGAAATATAGTTTGAAATATATTAAA